TGCAACTCACCCGAACCAAGACCGTTGCGGCCGGAGCACTACCAGCGCAGGGGGACAGACTGCCACGGGCCAGTGCTCAGGCCCCTGCTGTGGCCCTGTTTAGTCTCCCAGTGTACATGAAGCCATTCACGTCAATAGGCAATATTTTGCCGAAGAGTTCAATTAGTTTGGACTACAAACTCTCACCCCCCCGGTGCGAGGTTCCCTATCCTGCCCTTAGAGAATTCACTGTTGTAGTCTAAGAACCAAATACAAACCCGTACCAACAGCATTGCCGTAACTATACAGATAGTAGTTAGAAAAAGTTAGTATCTGTACACATACGTGTGGATATATATGTATATAAAAAAATATAACTACGTATTCTTTTACTATGTAATATAAATACCTGTATTTAGGTATTAGCCCCAGTATTAGGGCTATCATGAACCACACCTGGGAAGACATCATTAAATGCCATCACCCGAAAAATGTTAGTCTGCATCTGGAAGAAATTAGCTGCATCAACTCGGTACACAAAAACCTGAAAAAGCAGTAGTTACCAAAGCAGGCTCCACAGGTAAACAAGGTGTTGAGCTGAAGACAACCCAAGCCTTCCTGTGGGGAAATTAACTATTTTGATCGCAGAGGTGGAACCATCTCTAATTCGTCTATGAGACTGCAACATACCTCACTAAGTTGTGCAGGTGCTTTTGTTCTTCAGAACTACTCATGCAGTACTTAGGTTAATTATTTTCTTACCACTACCAGGAATTTTATTTCAGTATTTGGCCTATGATGTTGTTTGTGTTTGGCTGGCCTGCTTACCCACGCTGGAAGCCTGGCTCTAAAGCCTGGATGCAACACCACAAGCCCCTTCTTCCACGGCTTTTCACCACCTTTTTATCTTCTGAAAAAATACCAGCAGCAAAGGCATAAAGCTTCACTCTGCAGCTTCTCTTGACCTTCCCCAAACCATTATCAGCTCCCACTCTGACAGACATCAGTTGGTGCAAAGCACCATTTCATGCGTATTTGTTTTCTGTGTTTTTTCCTCTAGCCCTTCACTAACAATTTCTACCACCCTGCTTTCCTTTTTGACTACTGCTGAGAACTGAGTGGGAGTTTTCGGAGAACCAGTCACAGCGACTCCCGTATCTCGTTCCTGAACGGTTACAACTAGAATCCATCACAAAGTGAGTCAGGATTCTGTTTCCTGTTCGTTACATTAGCAATGGATTTCACTTTAGAATATCATTTAGAATATCTAGTCGGCTTTTATTTTCGGTACCTTGAATAACAATTTATCAGCAAACTGTCACGCTGCTGTTCACTACGCACAGCACAGGAGCCTGCACAGCTCTTCAGAGCTCCACTGGGAACAATCTAGGAACTGCTGACACTGTTTCCCATCTAGAAACATCATGCTGAGCAAGCCACAATTTCAGGACGCATATATTATTTACCAGCTGCCCATATTTATTCCAGACTGAATGGATTTTGCTTTTGTCCAGAACACAAAAGCTGGTTCCAGACAGCAGTATGCACAAGTACTGTTCGCCAGCCATAAGTTACTGCCTTACTGACATAAAATAATTATTGTGCATCAACAGTGTTACAGTAAATACCAACATGTAGGTTCTAGGAAACGTAAGCAGCCTCAGGTAAGAGCTTTCACCCGGTAAACCAGTATGGGCAACTGGCACGATGTTACCCTCCCGTCTACCTGCTCTGCAGTGCAGGAACGGAGGCCTGAGCTGCAGCATGCTCCCGGCTGCGAATGAGGAGTGAGAACCAGAACGGAGAGGCAGAGGACAGCGCCGGGGAGGGCAGTGGTGAACAATACAAGCACAGGAGACAAGGAGAATACAAGGAGAAAACAACACAGAATTGGCATCATCAAGAAGAGTAATTCGTTTTAATCATCCCCATTTTGGCAGATTTCTACAGACGTTTAGAAACCCTAGCAACAGCACTGATGTTGCACGTATTTTACAACAGCTGGATTATAACCATAATGAAGTGTGGTTATTCAAAAACAAAATCATTCAACTGAAACAGAGATTGGGCAATACAGTCTAGGTATAGCGCGAGTTCCTTATTATTTTGTTTCCCCAAAATGTATTACAGATATCAATATGATAGTATAAAGTCCCCTAGTTTTATGAATGATCAGATCCCGTTAACAAATCGTATGTATCTACAGGAAACTGTGCGCTCCTCTTTTCTGCAGCTGCAGAACAGTATATTTAAGCCTCTATTCATACACTTCCTCAGAGAGGCACTATAATAATGCTTGGTATTTCAAACATCACATTATACAACCACTGTCTCAGAAGCACAATCAAGTTATAAATTACAAAATCCAGGAGCTGATCCAAGGCTAATCAAGTGCCTTCTTATTGTTCCAGGTGATCAAAAGGGGATGGAAGGAGGAAAACCACCACCACTACCACTCCGCGTTTCACTTTCTTGCATTGGAACAAGAGGAGGCACCAAGCACACACAGACCAGACAGGCAACACTCTTCACAACACTGCACGCCTGCAGTAACAGGTTGCTTTTAAAGCTGTATTTAAAAAACTCTCATTGCCTCACGTAATTTCCAATAAAGGGCTTGTTCAAAACAACAACAAAAATCCCAGAAGACCAAAACACTTAATCTTCATGATACCGTTACCCAGCAAATTTCTCAGCTGAGCTCAAAAAAATGCGACAAACATCTTCAAGCATGAATCAGCTTCCTACCTGTGAACATGCCTCCATACCACTTACTAGGGGCAACTATGGTACTCTTCTTCCTCCCCACCACTAGCAATTTTCCATATGCTCCTGCACTGCCTAATTATAATCTTGCCACTGTATAGATGCTTCTCTTGCTACTTTTTCTCTCTCGGTCAGACACAGCTGCATCCATTCTGGAATACAGGGATAACCACATACTCAACAAGATGTGTCCCTCATGTGCCCGCAACGCTTATCAAAAGCGCATCGATTAGGGTAGAGGACAGTGTTAAATTTTGCAGTGTACAAATCCTTAGAACTAACTTCTTTAAAATTTGCATATATATATGTGTGTGAGAGTGAGTGAGTGAGTGTGTGTGTGTGTGTGTGTATATATATGTTTTTTTTCATGCAACCTCCGAGTTGTCTATGTATGTGGTCTCTTTTTGTTCCTCTCAGATTCTGAGCTCTGACTGCGATTCCTCTTTTCTGGCATATCACTTCCCTTTGCTGCACACAGACGCAGAAAACGAAACCCAGAACTCTTACACTCTCTACTGCAAACTTTGGCTAGCGCTAGATGTTGTTAGAGTCTATCTGTGGTCATTTTGACTAAGGACTTTCCCCCTCCCTACCGGCTTTACCTTTCTTACCCGCATTTGGCTCAGAAATGATTTCTTTCATTACTTCTTTGTCCTCCGCCTCCCTTTGTGTCCCTCTGAGAAAAGCGCCACAGCCAGGGACTACCGAAGGCAGCGTGAGGTTCTGCTCTGCAACTTCTCTTCACCCTGACAAAGCTTTGCTGTGTGCTGCTGGCCAGCTGGGGTAGGATCCCAGCCTTGTTTTGTGCGAACACTACTGAGGGTTAATGCAACGATACTCTCGGTTAATAGACCAGACTCTGCGCTACTGTGTGTTCCAGATGATCCCAGTTTGTTCAATACTTCACCAAATTAAGTCCTTCCATCTTGTACAGAAGACAAGTTTATATATCCATTTCGTAGGGCACATTTTCAGGTAGTTCTTCCTTGCACATATGTACATGATTTCCCCCCGTTACAATCTTCAGCAAGTAATATTTACTTTTATAGTCATGAAAGGAAATTTAACCAGAAACTGGGTTCAAAACAAACAAACAGAAATGAAAAACCTAAACATATATGTAAAATTTTAAGCACAGTGGTATTCAGGACCTACTAAAACTCAGTGTTCAGAAATACACAACAGAGATCTACAGATATCAGAACTTTTTTTTTTATTTAAGTTACCTGAGGGTGGATATTTGGCTCAGGATTGTTAATCTTTGATTTTTAAAGAGACTGACTGCAAATAATATTAAGAAATAGGAATATGTAAAAGTAACCAATATTTTCAAAATCGTCACAAATTTTGAAAACATTATATAAATTCTGCAAACTTGGTATACCCTAAAGGGGCATCATTTAGTTACCATGTATAATGATATTTGAAAATACTAGCATTTTACCCTGAAGTTTTCACGCATTGTGAATGTGTCTATGTTTAATTTCAAGAGGGTATCAAAAGCGATAATGGTTAGAAAAATATACATATTTTTGTCTCCTCTGGAAAAAAATTGGTCATTTGAAATATCCATCAAATAAAATACTAAAAAAAGCCTCTCCATAGTTTTTTTTTTTTTTTGAAAATCCAACAGAAAAATTATGTTTATATACAGCTTATGCAATCAGTCATTTTCAAAAGATACAGTCAAAGTTTTGCAAGTACAGAAACGTGTAATCTGCTACTGCTCTCTAAACTCCTGCCCGCACTGATGCATGATTGTTTAGGCAAGCCAAAAGAGAAAAGCCACGCAGTGATACCAAAGCAATCAGCAGAAACGTAAGGAAAAAAAAAAGAAAATATACAAGAACAAAGGAAAGTACACTGTTGAAGATAACATTGAGAGGAATATTGACCAACAGTAAAAAATATGAATTCTTTAGTCGCATGCAGTAACCTCTACAGGAAAAAATATATTCCAAGTATTAAAAGGACACTTTCACAGTACTTCTCATGATTTTTTAGAAGTCATATTAAAGGTTACTTTACTGTCTCCTGGAAATAGCCTTGACTGAATTTGTTTCAGTGGGTACAATTTGATGCTGTGCTTCAGTTAGTGGCAGTATTTATAAACTTCAGTTGCGCATACACCAAGCTAAACAAAACAAAAAGCGCTAAGTTTTTAAAAAGGAAGTGAGAGAGGAAGGAAGAAGGTTTCAAAAAT